CATGTGGAGGGAATAGCCGACCACCTAACATACAGATAGAAATTGTGAGATCTCTTCAGAGAGCAGAGGGCAGCTGGTGGCTGCAGCTGATGCTCTGAGTTGGACCCCCTGGGAGGACAGGTAAGAAAGAGACCACCAGAGCCTCCCCTTGGAGGGCCTCACACTGCTGGGAGGGGAGCCTTTGTTAAACATGGTGCACAATGGGGAGTCAGTTTAGTTTTTGATCAGGAAGTTAATACAAACAGGGTTGAACAATGAGAAAACAAATCTGACAAAGATGGTAGCAGAGAGTGACAGAGGGTGTGGGCAGGGCAGGGAATCTGAGTCACTGGATGCCGCCCCTGACAGCTTCCAGGCTCTTTCCTGGCTTGAGTGTTTTGCAGTACAACAAGGCCCTCTACAGGTTAGCCAGATGACTAGATTCAGAGGAATTTAGATGAGGCAGGATCTTAAAGTTAATCCAGTCAAACCGTCCTGGCAGACTTTAAGATCTATAGGAACCCTGAATGAGAAGCATGGTGGCAGAAACTGGCTGGGTGTCCAGGGCACACTGCTGATCAAAGCTATGTTAAGAATATAGGGTCAGAGCTGTGTATCTCCTATTGTATATCCTGTCTCTATGAGATCTCCTTTAACTCCTATCGTATATCCTGTATCTCCTTTTTTTCTAGAAGCTACATTTCTATAGTAAAATATCTTGATTTCTAAATGTGGGCTGGACTTAAAACAGACACCTTGAAAGACAAAGGAAATATACCTGTGGACTGTATCTGCCTAATAGGCTGCACATTTTCAACATATAACTTTCAACCAGGAAGGGAATGTGAAGGTCATCTCTAAACAATAACTTCTTCACTTAACAGACAAAGATAGCCAGTCCAAATGACCCCAGCAAAGTTAGATAATCACACAGCCAGACTAGATCATAGGTCCTTTAACTATCCATTCATTTTTAATGTTGCTTCCAATTTTTGCCCCAAGCTGGACCACTACCATTGACTGTTTTTCTCTGAAGAATATATGGCACTAGGGTAGGATTGAGGGTGTTGTGGTGGGAAGGAGGTTGTTGAGATTTTCCTAGAGATGTGAAAACTACTTGCTCCTCATCTCACTACCAAACTGAACCACGATGTCCCTGTTAGGACAATGTTAGTGCCAAAGAACCCTTGTCCACAGGCTGGGATCAAGTGTTCCCAAGTGACCAACTCATTCCCTACATCCTGTGGATAAACCAGGGTTCATTTATAGTCTAAAGTCTCTTCCCAGACTGTACATTCAGTAGGCACTTGAAGCTTATTCTGGCCCCACCCTAAGGATGGTATTCATATTTTAATAATCTGCAGATGACACCAGGAAATTTTTGTTGTCAATTCATGACAAGGTCATTATTTTATATATTTTAAAGAAAATAACTTTTTTCATTTGCTTGCAAATCTCTTGGGTATATATTCAAGCTCCTAAGAAAAAAAGAAAGAAAATCAACCCCCAACACTAATGTTTTTCATGAAATGTTGGGAACTATTTTCATATAGGTTTAAATAAAGGACTTTGGCATTAGATCTATCTAGTTCTGTCTAGATCTATCTAGGCTCTGCCATTGAAAGGCTATGTGACCTTGAAAAAAATGATTTGCCTTCTGTAAGCCTTAATTGCATATAGGTGTGGGTTAATTAAAATAAAGCTAATAATGCTTTTCAAGTATTTTAAATGCTCATAAATGGTAGCTATATTACACTATTACTTCAGTTTCATTTGAGAAGAGACTCAATATTGAATCAATAGTTTTGTATAGTTTAAAAAATCTAGATATGCCACTGTTTTTCCAGAAAGATGTGAAGCCTAACTAACATCCTGTTAAAGAAAACTGCTAGTTTGATACCTGCTAGATTGTGGTATTAGCAGAATTTTAATCTAAGTTACTTATGCTCCAATATTATCTGAGACATAAAAATTACAAAGAAAGCCCAAGAAGCATAGGCATAAGACCTGATTAAACAATTCAATTCTTCTTGTTACTGTCTAGTCACATTCTTAATCTTTATGAGATACTTCTCTGGAAGCTGTGGGTATTGCCCACAATCTATAACAGCCCTCATGTTTCATTTTGGCAGAGGAGTAAAATGTAGTGATGGATCACATTTTTTCACATGGTTATTCTCAAGGAGTCTATACTTTGAATTCTCAAGAAATTAGCTACTTAGGCCTTGTATTCTGAGTTGTGCATTCATTGAACATTTAACAGAAATTTGGGGCTGAATCTGGAAGATATGCTTCTGAATGTGCTACTGAATAGGGCTGTGCCAAAAGTTTGGACAGAAATGTGGACTCACCCAGATTAGCAGTCTCAAGCTCACAAATTAAATTTCAACACTTCCAGTTCATCTTGGCAAATGCTAGTATCCTGATGTCAGACAGTAATGATGTAAGCCAGAAAGAGTGGTGTTTTGCAACAGAGAGATTCTGGTAACCCTTCCCATGGGTGTGGGTTGTAGGATATCAATATTTACATCATATCACAGAGTGTGTTACAGTTTGCAAGGCAGAGAAATTAGATGGTTTACTCATGGTCTTCGGTGGAGAAGTGTCCTTCTGTTTAACATCAAAAGCTTAAATTGCTCATGTTTGCATTGTTATTTCCTTAAGACATTCTTTTTTCAATTGCACATAATAAATGGACATTTTCTTAACGTCAGCAAAATGGGACGTTTCAAAATTAAAGGGTTGTATTGTGCCAGGAAACATTAAAAGACAAACTATTATAATTTCATCTACTTCCAATATAATTATACAAAAAAATAACTCGGGGAAAGCAGTTATAATTCCTTTTCTGTAAATTTACTCGCTCAAGCATGACTGAAATTATAGTGTTTGCTCCTACTGCCATCATTCTCCAAAGGGCTAATTAATGAAGCACTCATGAATACTGATGACTTAAGAATGTGTTCTCAAGAACTGAAGGGCAGACACAGGAAGGAGACAAAATGGGAAATGAAAGAAGTTGATGAACCCCGTTGGCTGGTTTGATTTGGTCAAAGATGCCAGAAATATGTTCTCATTTCTTTCTTAAATGACCCACCATACCTAATAGCTGAAAATGTCATTCTGATACCAGATCTTCACTGGTAGGCTTCTTTTCAGGGAAGGTCTTATTTCATATAGGCAAAAACAGAAAATGAAAGATTTGCAGAACATCTTATACATGTTCCTACTGAAGACCTGCGTACAAATGTAAATATTGCCATGAGAATGCCAGGGATTCCTTCCTGGAAAATGAACTCTAGGTGTTATATGCACAAGATTCCTTTGCATGACAGATCATAAACAGATGGCTTCTCAGGAACCACTCTCTAAATTTCCATATTTTCTCACTGGGCGGATTTTATAATGTTAATGCATACTCTTCCAGAGGTTAAAAAAAAAGCGAACCTCTGTTGGTTTTCTGCTTTGATCTACTTTTTGGTTTGGCATCTTGCGAATTTTAATTTCTTGTTCAATATTGATCCAGTTATGTATACATTTTAGAAATACTTATAGACAGCAAATATGTGTAACTTTTTAGTTTATCACCTCTCCAGAGACCTTAGTCTTACTTCCTCTTTCTTTTCATCAGGAGGCAGTCCTTAATTAGGCTTTATTGTTGCTTCCTGGACTCTCCCCAGCTTTTTAACACCTATTTGAAATGCCCAGGAAGAGCAGTCACTGGGAGGAACCTTTGCCTCCCTCCTCCTTGGGATGATGTAACCTCTGCACACGTGGTGAGATCATGCAGAAAGCGCTGATGTGCAATCCATCTGCATTAAATTCCTTCTGAAGGCAAAACAAACTGAGCAAGTGAAATGCCTTCCACTCAGAGGAAAGCAGATGGTAGTTTGATTTAGAAGTGAATGAAAAGTCACAACTCGATGTAAGAGAAGCCATTACTACTAGGCTTCCATTGTAAGAAAATTCACCTTTGACCCCCTTTTGAACCCATGCCATGATCAAAATATTTTGCTTATCTATTCCACAATAGAAAAAAAAAATGCTCATAGTCTTAGGTCGAATCTAAAAGAAACATGGTAGATAGTATTCTTTAATTTCATGCTTCACTTCCTTTAAGAACAAATTCTTAAATTATTATTTTAACAACCAAACACTAAAATATACACCGAAGATGATATCCAGTGGTGTGTTTCATGGTGAGGGGTGAGACTGGGGACAGAGATGGAGTTGAGAATAATCATACTTGCAACACACATGTGGAAAATTTTCTCCCTTCTCTTAGTATCAAATTTTAGTGCTAGAAAGGCCTTGTGGAAAATGACATGAAAGCCCAAAGAAATTAAGGGGCCTAGGGTTGTTTGAATTAGGTGGAAGAATAATGATCAAACAGGTAGGACCATAATTCTCAAATTGTTATTTCTACCAATGTTCCATTTTCTCCACGTATAAATCTTCTATCAGGTATCCAGAAATGGTAAAGAAAGTTTCCACATGCTCTTGGTTGGTGAAAATATCTGGTTCTTCAGTTTCTATTTCAGAGTCAATTGTAGAATTGTATTCATTAGCAGAATTTTAGAATTTCAGTCCAAATAGTCACCAGGTAATTCCACTAACAATAGGAGAAAGTGATGAACATAAGCATTTGAGGACTAGTGAGTCGAGCACAAAATTTTATAATCCATGCAGGAACAAAAACGTTTTGCCTATTCAAGACTCAATATCCAGGTAAGTTTTCAGTCATCAGAAACTCTTTAGCTTATTCCATATTTCACAGTGTTGTCACAAGCTTGGGATGATTTATGTTTGCCTTGGACATTCCATTTTCTTTTCTCTAGCTTAGACTTCAGTCACATGTTTGGGTCACCAGAGGTGCCATAACACTAATCTCATCCGAGTAGTTGACATCACATTCTTTTAGACACCGTGAAAGCAGCATGTTTCGGATTTGGTCCATAGAGATGTGGTCCAAAATCCTGGTAGCAAGCATAGTGAAGAACCCAAGCGTGGCCTTGCTTAGGCTGACTGCACAGTTGATAATTATTGTCCTGAGAATTCACATCTGACATAGTCAGAAGTGTAAAACTCAACATCCCACAGGGAGAGCAAAAACCACACAGAAGCAGCAAACCCAGAGTAGGACTGTGAACTCGACTTCTGTCACTGTAGCTTGTGCCCTTGGCCCCCGTGGCACTTTAGCGATGACAGAGTCCAAGGACCAACGTTGAAATTTATTCTCTCATTTCACCACGATCCCAACTTTCTAGTCAGCTTGGGAAGATTTGTTGTTTCACCTGAAGATTTCAGTTTGGGGCCCACTGATTTACACCAATGCCTCATGAAAATTTCTTACAAAGGCTTCACAGTGGTCTTCCTCCGGAACAGATATTGTAAGGTGATTTCAATTTTAGATACCTAAAACAGAGCATTGGTTTCCATATGAATTTGACTGCTGTTTGTATAGCTTATTGAGAATTATATAAACGCTCTGGTGTAACAGTTGCTCTTGGTGTCCCACCTGTACCCCCTTTACCATCCCCATCCCCCCAGCTGTGGGTATTAATAAGGCTCGTGTGCCATGTGCTATGCTTCATCGCTCACTTGTGTCTGACTCTCTGTGACCCTATGGACTGTAGCCCACCAGGCTCCTCTGTTCATGGGATTCTCCAGGCAAGAATACTAGAGTGGGTTGCCATGCCCTCCTCCAGGAGATCTTCCCAACCCAGGGATTGAACCCAGGTCTCCTGAATTGCAGGCAGATTCTTTACTTTCTGAGCCACCAGGGAAGCCCAAGAATTATGGAGTGGGTAGCCTATCCCTTCTCCAGGGGATCTTCCCGACCCAGGAATTGAACCAGGGTCTTCTGCATTGCAGATGGATTCTTTACCAGCTGAGCTTCCAGGGAAGCCCATAATAAGGTTCACAGCACCATCCTTCTTTAGAGGACTGTCCTCAGCCAAGAGGGGATTTTGCCTGAAGATTTCTGGGAGATTCCAAGGCCCTGTCCCTTACCCCACCAGGAGCATTCTGACATCCACACCTGATGACAGTGGGTACTAAAACCAAGCTCCCTCACCTTCTTGGGTTGTGTCAGAGATGCCATTCATGTTCTAGGTCTCCCTGTGGAATCAGGCTGAGGACAGATTTCAGCTAAAGCTGCATCTTTGCCTCCCTTCCCTTCTGCTCTAGCTTTCCTGCTTCATTACGAGTTTAAGCTTTGAGCAGTCCCTTGACCAATCATTCACTCAAGAATCTGTTTCATAGTTCTTCTAGGGAACTTGACCTCAGGCAGCTGTCTCATTTACAGTAAAAGGTCTTCTTCCTTTTCTTTGTTTTTTCTTTCTTGATCTCTTATGCAGCTGATTTAACAGATTTTGTATCAATCGATCCACAATTGATATAACAAATTTCACTCTCTCTAAGGTTCGATTATTAAGAAAACATTTTTTTTTATGTTCTATAATAATTTTTGGTCATTTTAAATATGACAACTTAGTTAACAGAATACAGCAAAAGAAATGTATTTTTACTTTTCTTTAATGTATGTCATCTATTTTTTGGCTTTTCCTTATATGTGGCTTTTAGGTAAAATTACCAGTGTGGAAAGGCCAGAAATAATAATTAATGATTAATACATGAGTAATTTATACTTAGTGGATCAAATTTGTCTTCTTTAGCTTTTAGCAGTAGGCAGTATCTCCTGAATGTACTCTCAGTTGATGTCTGAGAAGGAAATGGCCCAAGTTTGTCACATACTTTCATTAATTTAATACTTATATTTCGATGTGTCCATTCAACAGATATTTACTGAGCACATATGGTATGCCAAACATGGTATTCAGCACTTCATATAGTTGTGCACAGGACACATTTAATCTTTACCCTTGTGGACTGACTGTCTTACTCATTTATTACTTGATGTAGGCAGACAGAGATGAGGATGAAGGGAAATTATAAATTGGAGCTATCCTATTACAACTGCAGGTAAATCTTTACCTCTTGTCTGGGTTTATGAGATGAGGCATCAAAACAAATATGCAGGAACTTGCCAGATTTACAGCCATATTTTCACAAGACAATTATATATGTCAATGCTTGGTACATTGTAGGGGCTCAGTAAATGTTTGTTAAATGAATGAGTATCTAGTGACTTCATAATTTGTTTTTTTTTTTTTTCTTACCTCTTTCTTATGTAGCAGTAAAAAATAACAAGAAAACCACTTAATAGTAATCCAACGCCAATCCCAATTGCGATGTATTTTTCGTAAGAATCCACAGCATATGAAGTTAAGGTCAAATGCTCACACCTTTCTCCAGTATAACCAGTAAAACACCTTTTAAAAAAAGAAAAAAATGTATAATGTTAAAATTCATGATGATAGAAACACATATGACCGATTTCAAAGAATGAAAACAATTAAATAAAAATGATTTAAATTAAAGAGGCAAATACCAATGAAAGTTGATCTATTAAAGAAGAAGCCATGCATTTTGCGCTAATTATTTGATTAAAACCCTGTATTAACATAGCTTCCCTCATTGGTAGAAGAGAAAGGTAGGACACCTTCATGAGTTGACCTAGAAAATTGTTAACCTACTCTTTCATAAGAGGATGCTGAGTAAATCAATGGCCATAAACAGTATCTCAGTTGATCTAGAACTTTATATTTCTGAAGTATTTTTACCATAGTTTCATTTTATCCTATAATCAACTCATAAAAACTTAGAAACGTCTTTGCATGTTGTTGAAAGCTGGTTTGGGATTCCCTGGTGTCTCAGATGGTAAAGAATCTGCCTGCAATGTAGGAGACCCAGGTTCAGTCCCTGGGCCAGAAAGATTCCCTGGACAAGGAAATGGCAACCCACTCCAGTATTCTTGCCCAGAGAATCTCATGGACAGAGGAGCCTGGTGGGCTATACTCTATGGGGTTGGACATGACTGAGCAACTAACATTTTCACTTTTTAAAAGTTGTTTTGAAGTCAGTAGTTTTGAGGTTGGCCTGAGCTTCTGCATTTCTAACAAGCTCCCAGGTTACACAGATGCTGCAAATCTAGGAACCATACTTTTAAGTAGTGAGAATTAGGTAGGCTAGAAAAAGACTCCTTAGATATTCAAATACAAAGAGAATTGGTGAATCATGTTCAGATCATGTGCCTTTTTTACTGGGTAAGATAGAGGTGTATAGAAGTGTACCATATGAAACACCATGTGAAAGGAGGCATACATTCTCCTTCTCCCATCTCTAGGACTTGGGAAGTTCTTCGCAATTACCTGCAGATGGCTTTCTCCAACTCATGGTGGAATGCACAGACACCATTGATGCAGTAACTATGGTGGTCTTCCAGGCAAGGATGTGAGAACTTCAAGGCTATGGGTACTTCTGTGTAGTCTGCTAGAAAAAGGAGATACTATATTAACAGATGAAGTAGGTCACGCTTTCATAGTAGATTCGTAACACATATACAAAAAGGCCTTTCATTTTAAGAATATTCTTTGAGTGCTCTGCCATTTGAACTATCGATTCATTCCTTTGGCAGTTTATATATACAAAGGTTAGGTTAACATCATCTAGACATATTAATAAGCTAGGTGGTGGAGGTGGACTGATTATCATGCTGTTCTTTAGAAATTTTATTATAAGATATAGATATGAGTCTGCCAAAAGGTGGCAGCATTGATTCTAGTCAGTTTGGTATCTTAAACAAGGCTTCCCAAATGTATCCTGGATGCTAATAAATATAGAAGCTTTCATATACCTGAGAAGTAAGCACTTAGGGAGATGTGGATATATGATTGTGAGATAACGAATTTGATTTCTCTTCACTCCCTAGAGGAGTGAGATGAGAATCTGCTCTTGCTCTTCTGTGGTCATTAAGTAGCTAATGGAAAGGGAATTGTTTTCCATAACTAATTTCAGAAGAGGTATTGTTATGACCTGTATATGAAGCCAGAAATAATTTATGACTCAGGCTTAACATAGCTAAGACAATGCCTTTGGATGTTAATTAAAAATTTTACTCAATTAAGAGGCATTATGAGATTGTAGGAAAAGCCGTGAAGTTGGAATTAGAAAACCTAGGTTTTGATTTCCAGCTCATAGACTATTCAGATGACCACACTTGGTAAAACTTTTGCAGTCAAGTGTCCAGAAGCCTTTTTATGGGAAACTTCCCTTTTATGTGGCAAAATACATATATTTCAGAATGGTTGGTTATCTTTCATTCCTTGATGTATTAAAGACATATACCTATGCTGTTCTTGAAGTTTATGCAGTGGGAATGACATTTGGGTAAAATGGCATAATTTTAGTGTAGTTTAATATTTGATTCTTAAATTCTTCTCAAGCAGAATTAGTGGCATTTTATTTTTGTCATTGTTGTGAATAAACATCATATGTCCTCAATGTATAACTTCATTTTGGTTGAGAACACACATTACCTTAAAATTCATATTCATTTTGTTAAATGTAGCATAGTAAATCTAATTTCTCACCTTGATCATTAACTCTAAGGCAGTGAGAACTTCCCATTATAAACTGTATTAGATTTTTCCTACTTCAAGATTAACTAAGTTCAACTAACCAAGCCTGAATCAGGACTTACTGGAAAATGTGAGAACTGAAAGAAGACATTTTTAAAGAGAGAGTAGACTAGAGACTCATCTTTCCCCTAAGGACAAGAAGATTAAACAATAAGCAGGAAACTAGAATTCCCCCATCAAGAACGCAAAGGAAGACTACTGAAATGATATATTCAGTCCCTTTTCTTTCCATTATTATTGCCTGTAACTTGGAGACTTTTGACTTGCAGTTCACTATTAGGGAAGAAAAACAGTGGTGATGGGCAGACTGTTATGACACTGAGAGGAAACTGTACTTCTTTAATTTCAACAGTGTTATCTTCCAACAAGGATGCTTTCTCTTTGTTTAAAGGCTCAGAGGCATGAAGAATTTGGCTAAAAGTTATTTTAAAAGCCACACATTTTGTTTTTCAAATTAATATATGCTCAAAAATTCAAATGGGTAAAATATTTTAAGGAAGTTTTTTAAAATTTAAAATTATTGGTGAAACAAAGAATACTTAAATATTACTATCTTTCATATTCACAAACAAAGTATCTGACTTCATCTTCTTTTATTTGCCGGGCTCTGAGAGCAAGATATGGTGTTTCTGTTGTTGTAAATCACAAAGTCCGTCTTCCCATCAGAGGGTGATATTTGATTTGCCTGAGAATCACAGCCATCTGATACACAGGTCTTGGCAGATAACAAGCTTCCTAAATTCACCTCTAAGAGTTCAAAGAGTTTGGAAAATGCTGATGCTCAACAATGGCCAGAAACTATTTTAATGACAATAATAAAATATGTCATCACCATCAACAACAAAAATTGGGTACAAGTGGTTGGGAAATACAGCGTACACTAAAACAACAAAAAACCCCAAGACACACAAGAAAAAGACATTTCCGAAGATTAGAGAAAGTGGATTAAGGCTTCATCTGCTTGCCAGAAATTTTTTGGCTGCAAAAGCTCATAATCACAGAGCAAAATATTGTTACTCATCGAGAGTGCCAAAATGGGGACAAATGGCCTTTAGACATGCCTGGGTTACTGGGAACTCAGCAGGAATCAGGCAGAAAGTGTGGCAGGTTTCACATCCAGGACTGTAACTGAAGACAACTTTCTCTCCTGTTCTGCTTCCTCCTTTTAAAAAGACAATTCTTTGCAACATGTTTACCTGTCACTTCCATTTCACAATGTCCCAATACAAGATTGTCTAGTAATACGATATATGTTTAAAAATTTCCAATGTTGCTTTTATCACAATCCAAATTTCGCTCAAACATTAAAAGAAAAAGTCACTTGAAATACAAAAGTGGGAAGAAAATACCTGCTGTTTTGTTAACTGTCCAGTTACTCTGCTGGGTTGTGACTGGGGGGCTTAGAGTCCTGGCTGCCTCTCCAGTCAGCGCTGTCATTGCTGTGTGAAGGAGGGGAAAGGCATCTTTAGCAGGCGAGCCTCCTTCTACGTACAAGCAACAGATCAAAAGTTATTCTGTCTATTCCCACATCTGTTCTATTTTTAATTCATCTACATTTGAGATCCATAACCTACTAAGGGCAGTTTTCTGAGTTTCTCATGCATATCAATTCCATTCACTACATTACAGCTATAGAAAATAGAAACCCACTAATTGTTAAAAGAAAATGAATACATTTATAAACTCAATCACAAGGATACTATCATATCATAGTTAAAGTGTCTCAACTGCTCTTCAGTTGTATAGAACAAACAATATAGAGATCTCAGAAAAAAGGTATCAAAATATATTAAGAGAGGAATGTGTCAAAACATTACATTAGAAACTAAATGAATCCACGGATTCCTTGCTTGGATCTTTGTCATAAAGAACAGCTGCTAAAAGCCAACTTCTCACTCATACAGAGAAAGCAAATCCTGTTCACATTTTACAATGACACAACATTAACACAATAAAAAGAAATGACCTACCATTGATCAAGAGATAGACTGATATTGGAACCCCGAAATCCATTTCCTGCACTTGTTAATAGTATCTTGCTCTTATCCTCCTAGACGGATGGGTGGAAGGTTTTTATTGAGCTCTCTCAGAGGCTTTCTTGCATTTATATTTCATGAAGCGTCATCTGGCAGTTCTTAGCAATCAAAAAAATATGTCCTTCTGGCAGCAGCATGAAGCCTTGGGGCGTTCATGCACTTGTTTAGGATACCTGTGTTATCTGGTAGTGTGATCAAGTTTTTCTTTTGAAACACGGGTTTCCTGTTACCTGTGGGCATAATCATGTTTGTAAATGTACTTAAAACAACAAAAAAGAACTGAATTCAGGTAAAGCTCCCTTGGTGTGAACAGAATTGTTCTAGCTCCTAAGCTGCTAGCAATCCATGCAGGATTCCAAGAAAGGGGAGTTTTGATGTATTCAAACCAGGAAACAAAGCTCCAGTTATTTACACTACTTTTTAGGACAGATTTGGTTGCACTGTAAATCAAGATATTTTGTTATTTAGTGGCAGGAGAGAACAATTAAATGCGCATAAAAGTAAATGTGCATAATATTCCACTTTAGTTTTTGCTACTTAGTTTTAGTATTTCAAGTTCTGTAAAAATTATTTTTAAGAGTATAACATTTACCTTTGTGTCGTTTTTGCCATTTAATATTTTTCTGAGTAAATGGAATGGCTACCAAGTTCTAGGAACTACAGTTCTTAAAAATGTGCCCCAATGATTAGGCTAGAGAGAACTAGTAAAACACCAAAATACTACTAACAACAACAATAATAATATTATCTCCAATAAGATGAAATTAAAATATTTATATTTGATACATCTAATGAATAGAAAGTTTTAAGTTTAATATAACATTCGCATTTTTTTTGCTATTCATCTACTTACGATTATTAAAGTATCATTTTTAAGGCCAAAATATGTAATTATTGCTATTACTTTTTGGGACAATAGGAGCTTCCATAAATTCTCACTTGCCCAATTTATAAGAAAATAATTTATAAATATGTTTTGCTGAGGTATTAAAGTTTTCTACCAAGAATTTCAATTGCTCATATTTTCTGTACCTTGAAAACTTGTATAAGTCGAGATAGGTTGTCATTTGCATCACGTCCACCCAGCAAGTTCAGTTTACCAGAAAGGATCCCTTTCACTATTCAAATATAAACTTGGCTTTAGAAATCACACAAGAATGAGCTTGTTGAACTCATTATAACTTGGGCAATCGCTTACCACAAGAGTCATCCTTTTAAAGTTAAAGAATGTATAGGACTTGGCTTACTTTAATGTGCCTACACAGTTCATATTTCTACTTTTGTGAAGTTTTCTTGTTAACTGTTATTAGGACAATTTCTGGATACGATTTTTCCTCAGCAAGTAATATTTGAATTATGTCATATAATCACCTTCTGTGCCATTGGTAAGAATTTAAGAAGAAATAATTTACAAAAGATTAAATAAACCACAACCAATTGCAGTTTCAGGAGGAAGATGCTAGGAATAATGTTAAATACCTTCATTCCAAAGACTGGGACATAGTACAACAACGTCTTTGTAGTAACTGTTAACTGGTGTTTAACAGTGCTTTGCATTTTGCAGAAGGTTTTCACACACATCTCAAATTTGTCTTCAGTAATCCTGGCTGGCCCCAGCAAATCCAATGCCTAATATATAGTGTATACTCAATCTATCTTGAGTGAAGAAAGCAATAAACAACAGGTCTTGTTTTAATTCCCATATAACAAATAAAGAATGTAGACTCAAAAGAAATTAAATGACTTGCCAGCGGACACACCCTAGAGTTGGGACTTGAATCTGTGTTCAGATTCCAGGTCACGCGTCCTTTCCATTTCCCCAGCTGTGTCCTCTGGTAGGAGTCAGTATAGTCACCTTAGAAGAATACACATTATCTCCTAAAATCAAGATTTAAGTAAATTGCCTTTACCATAAGAATCTAAACATTAAATGAACTGTGGCTTCTGCACATATTTGGACTGAGAGAAGTGGACTGCTGTCTCTCTAGATGTTTCTCCACTCTGGTGAACTAAGCCACATAATGTATAAACTCATCTACCCCCTGAGCCTATGAAAATAGCTCCAAGTTATCCTTTGCTTCTTTTCCTCTAGGACTCATCCTAATGGATTCCACTTACACTTTAAGTAGGAAATCTTCTATGTTCATGTCTTCAGCCCTCTCATCAGGGAACCCTTCAGCAATTCTGAAGAATGGGGATGGTGGTGGGTACTGTAAAGTGGCCATATGGATATTTGTATTCTTGATGCATGTTAGAATGAGAAAGAAAGCAAAGAGCTGCAATGCCCATCTATCATTTTTTCCCTCTGACCATTTCTCCTGTCTTTTTAATTTATTTATCTCTCTCTAGTCATAAGCAACTCTGGAAGTGCCTTCTCTTCCTGCCCCTCCCCCTTAAGTTTATTTTTTCCTTCCCTCTCCCACTTACAGTTTCTTTTCCTTTCCTTTCCTCTCTTCATCTCTTCTCTCTTTCCTATCCTTCCATTTTTTCTTTCTTTCTTGCTCTTTGACTAAGAGTCACAATTTGTTTGTGGACATTTGCAGGAAATGGTCACCAGCACATTGCTTATCTTTCTCTAAACTTAATCTGTAACTTTCATGAATTCAGCTGTCATCCATTCAATCATAAACTACTTTATGCCTCTGACATCCAATGTTTGTAAGACAAGTAGACAAATCATACATGGACTCTGACCTCAAGGAACCAGAGGGAGTCAAGGAAAGTACATACATAACGACAGTGCTGGGTAGTGATAGATGACTGCCGTGAATGTGTACATAAATGAGTGTGAGAGTTCGGAGGTGGGACTTAGTCAAAGTCTCACAGCATTTTTCCTGGATGAGTTTCATTTGAAGTGAATCTTAAATAGCAAGTAGAATTTAGAAATATAATGACAAGAGAAAGGATTCTAGGTGGCAGGGACGTGGGCACTGAGGGGATAGCGTGATAGAAAAGAGAGTGGGTTCTGGCTCATATCACCCAATAAACCTTTCTTTGAATTTCAGTTCTACCTTTCCTACCCATTTGGCCTTGGCTGAGACTTTTTCATAACCTCTTGGGTTGATTTCCTCATATATCAAATTCAAAATGTCAGTAACAACAACCTCAAAATGTAAATAAAACATATAGCACGAGCTCAATTAAGGATAACATTATTTTCAATCCAGAGTGATATTTTGTTAGGACTTTGATTTATGTATTATGTCATCACTGCAAACACAACATCTTAAACTAAACATATTATCTCTCCTCCAAAATCAGCTCCTCTTTACAACCTCCTCATGATAATCAATGATAACATCCTCCAGGCTTCAACTTCCATGTTATATCACTGACTAAATATAGTTTAAATTCTGATTTATCCAGGCTTTTTCTAATCCATTTCTGCTACTATCCAGCTATATTTCCACCACTCTGCAACACACATTTTTCACTTCAGTCTGACTTGCCCTTGCTTTCATATGTATTTGCTAAGCTCATTCTCACCTCCATGTCTTCATATTATTATTCAGTCCTCACTAATCCCTTACTTGTAGGAGAAGGGAACTTTTACAAATCTCCTTCACAAGACAATCATATATCTATCTTTTATAGACCCCAAATAATATGCATAAGTAAAGTTATGATACAGATGAACCAAATTCATGTGTTGACTTTATGTGTTGACAGAGGCCTCCTTCTTGACCAAACTTTAGCTAGGCTCCTCTGAGTCCTTTTCTTAACTAGGCATCAACTTAGACTGTTGAGCACAGTTTTAGCAAAGAAATCTGTTAAGTTAGTTTATGGAGAATCCCCCTGCCCTGTTCCTTGTACTCTTGCCGTATCTGATTAAGTTCCTCCTCTCCCACCCTTTATATCGGCCTAACTTTAACAAGAATCCTGGTGAGGTAGTTTAACAAAAATCCTTCCAGCCTTGATATCTAATCGAGCTCTCTTAGTAATTTTCCACCTACTGATCCCCTCACTCTTTTCATTGCCTGTAAATCCACTGATTTACAGCTATATTTGGAGTTGATTTCAATCTCTTCTATTGTGATAGTCTTGACCCCACTGCAATAGTCATTGTTTGTTTTGGGAATTTGGGGCACTTAAATATTAATGAGGGCTTTTCTGACATGTTTGCTTGGGATCTTAGATTCTAAACTACCATCAAGGGGCTTCCCTGGTGGCTGAGTGGTAAAGAGTCCACCTGCCAATGCAGGAGACACGGGTTCAATGCCTGGTCCTGGAAGAATCTCACAAACTGCGGAGCAACTAAGCCTCGGCACCACAACTACTGAACCCGTCCCGGGAGCTGAAACTACTGAAGCCTGCACGCCCCAGAACCCATGCTCTGCAACAAGGGAAGCCACTGCAATGAGAAGCCCCACACTGCAACAAAGAGGAGCTCCCACTTGCCACAACTAGAGAAAAGCCTGTGCAGCAACGAAGATCCAACACAGCCAAAAATAAACAAAAAAAAAATAAATAAATAAACTACTATCAAGGTTATCACCAAGATTAGTGTGGAATGGGCTACAGAACATTTTCTTTCCTTTTTGAGACATTTGTACCTTTCCCCAGTGTGCAGTGAAGAAATAGATAACGAGTATATGAACAAGGAAACCTACAGCTTAGGAAAAAAGAAGACACGTATTTCTTTCCAAACTGATTTTATTATACGTTGAAATACTATTCATTATAAACATCTAGTCTATTTTCACACAAATGATTAAGAGTACATACTAATAAAGACATGCATTGGGTAAGAATCATTATTGGTACATTAACACACTGAGATTTGGGCATGACAGCAATACAATTATATGCCCAGGGTAGTCTCAAATAGCCTTCAACTGACAATCACATGTATTTTCTAATTTAAATTATGTTAAAAACATGGCATCTACTGTGAGAACCAAATGCCATAAGAGAAAAGAACTGTGGGCAACAAGGCAGTAGGCTTTTAGTCATATCCTAAGGATTAGCTGTGGCATATTGTGTCCTATTTTGCTATTAGATTTCTAGATTTGTGGAACGTATTATCCAAATATGTTTGTAGGAGAACAAAGAAATTACATGTAAGCCTAACATATTCTTATTGCATTTTTACTATGTCAAATAGTCATTCACAATTTGAAATAATCAATACCTTTCCAACTAGCATGCCATTTTTGGGGTTCCTTGCACATTTTTCTTTCCTCGAATGGGGCATAATTTTTCACTAGTATGCCTTGGGGAGTACATTTGGGGAGTATATGAAATCAAAATTTTATTCTTAATATTTTATCTTTTAGCAAGTAAGTTCTTTTGCTCTTTCTCAGCATACAATATGGGCTTCCCGCATAGCTCAGTCAGTAAAGCATCTGCCTTCAATGCAGGAGACCTGGGTTCAATTCCTATGTTGGGAAAGTTCCCCTGGAGAAGGAAATGGCAGCCCACTTCAGTATTCTTGCCTGGAGAATCCCATGGACAGAGGAACATGGCAGGCTACAGTTCATGGGATCACAAGAGTTGGACACAACTTAGTGCTATCGTTCTTTCAGCATACGATATAGAATATAAAATATATATAAAATTGAGTATGATTATGGCAAAATCTAAATTACATTTTACAAGGGAGCCCACTTGGCTGACAAAACATTTGTTGAAGACACACTGTGATATTTGTGTCAAAAATATATGCATTTGTTATGAGCCCTTTATTGTTTTAACAATATGAACAAATAATATTCACAAAACAAGCAATTGTTACCAAAGTGTCATTGCAGTTGTTTTCTTTTTTCCTAAAACTCAAAATCCATTCAAAATATTCCAGTAAATATTAGCAGGAAATGCATAAGATTGTGTGAATCATCTGATCCAAAATGATTCCACCCATGAAAAAATAAATACAATGTAGGAATAGTTTTGTAGTAAAATATAAAGATTTTTGCCTTTTGTAAAATAAATATATAGCATGACTTCAGTTTGCTTTATTCTTTCATGTGATCTAGTAAATGATTTTTTTAGCTGCCAAAAGGGTGTTCTTGAGAAGCATTGCCACCGTCATGGGTCCCACGCCTCCTGGAACTGGAGTGATAAAGCTAGCCTTCTTCTTAACAGCTGATGGAGGAAACAGAAAAATTTCTTATTTTTTCTCAGAATTTCATATCTTTAAACATATGGAACTGTTAAAACTGTAAAAACTGAAGCATATATTTTAAAACTTAAGAGTTTATCTGTGCAAAAATGGAGTCAAATCCAGCAGCACCAAACCTGAAGGAGTTGGAAAGCTTTCAGCAACAGGAGCGACTTACAGAGAAAAGGTAGAAACAAAGCAAGAAAACCACTTATTAGTTACAGCGTTAATGCCCAGCTTTATAGCCTAGTTGGCTATTTGTGATAGGTTGTCCTTAGCTTTCCATGTTGTAACCTCGAGGCATTTCCAGACCTAGATTTTGATTTGCTTACGTAGACAGCGGGGGCATTAGAGCCACCTCAGTCCAAGGGTTTCTTTGTTTAATTAACAGAATACACTGAATTTTTCTACATTACATATATAACTCTAGCATCCCCAAATAATTTTTACAATGAAGCAGACTATAACACACATACACACACTTCTGTATATGATACTGAATGTGTATAGAAAAAACACGAGGCCAACACTGTAGGGTAAAACTTCACGCAGCTCAGTTAGTGTTACATAATGAAAATCTAACCTACTGTATAGCACAGGGAACTCTGCTCAATGTTATGTGGCAGCCTGGATGGGACGGAAGTTTGGGGAATAATGGATACATGTAAACATATGGCTGAGTCCCTCTGCTGTAGCCCTGAAACTATCACAACATTGTTAGTTGGCTATTCTCCAATACAAAATAAAAAGTTAATAAAAGAAAACCTGTAACCCATGGTTGACTCAGTTCAGTTCAGTTGCTCAGTTATGTCTGACTCTTTGAGACCCCATGGACTGCAGCACGCCAGGCTTCCCTGTCCATCACCAACTCCCGGAGTTTGCTCAAATTCATGTCTATTGAGTTGGTGATGCCATCCAACCATCTCATCCTTTGTCGTCCCCTTCTCCTTTTGCCTTCAATCTTTCTCAGAATCAGGGTCTTTTCTATGAGTCACTTCTTTGCATCAGGTGGCCAAAGTACTGGAGCTTCAACTTCAGCATCAGTCCTTCCAATGAATATTCAGGACTGATTTCCTTTAGGATTGACTGGTTTGATTTCCTTGCAGTCCAAGGGACTCTCAAGAGTCTTCTCCAACACCGTAGTTCAAAAACATCAATCCTTTGGCGCTCAGCGTTCTTTATGGTCCAATTCTCACTTCATGGCAAACAGATGGGGAAACAATGGAAATAGTGAGAGACTTTATTTTGGGGGGCTCCAAAAATCACTACAGATGGTGACTGCAGCCATGAAATTAAAAGACACTTGCTCCTCAGAAGGAAAGCTCTGACCAACCTAGACATCATATTTAAAAGCAGAGACACTACTTTGCCAAGAAAGGTCCATCTAGTTAAGGCTATGGTTTTTCCAGTAGTCATGTATGGATGTGAGAATTGGACTATAAAGAAAGCCAAGTGCCGAAGAATTGATGCTTTTGAACTGTGGTGTTGGAGAAGACTCTTGAGAGTCCCTTGGACTGCAAGGAGATCAAACCAGTCAATCCTCAAGGAAATCAACCCTAAACATTGGAAGGACTGATGCTGAAGCTGAAACGCTGATACTTTGGCCACCTGATGGGAAGAACTGACTATTTGGAAAAGACTCTGATGCTGGGAAAGACTGAAGGTGGGAGGAGAAAGGGATGACAGAGGAGAGATGGTTGGATGTTTGAGCAAGCTCCAGGAGATAGTAAAGGATAGGGAAGCCTGGTGTCCATGGGGTTGCAAAGAGTCGGACACGACTGAATGAACTGAACTGAGCTCACATCCATACATGACTACTGGAAAAACCATAGCTTTGACTAGACAGTGGACCTTTGTTAGTAATGTCTCTGCTTTAATACGCTGTTTAGGTTTGTCATAGCTTTTCTTCCAAGGAGCAAGCATCTTTTAATTTCATGGCTGCAGTCACCATCTGCAGTGATCTTGGAGCCCAAGAAAATAAAAGTCTGTCACTGTTTCCATTGTTTTGCCATCTATTTGTCATGAAGTGATGGGACTGGATGCCATGATCTTCATTTTTTGAATGTTGAGTTTTAAGCCAGCTTTTTCACTCTTCTCTTTCACTTTCCTCAAGAGGCTCTTTAGTTCTTCTTTGCTTTCTGCCATAAGGGTAGTGTCATCTGCATATCTGAAGTTATTGACATTTCTCCCAGCAATCTTTATTCCAGCTTGAGCTTCATTCAGTCCAGCATTTCACATGATATACTCTGCATATAAACTAAATAAACAGGGTGACAACATACAGCCTTGATGTACTCCTTTCCCAACTTGGAACCAGTCTGTTGTTCCATGTCCAGTTCTAACGGTTGCTTCTTGACCTGCATACAGATTTCTCAGGAGGCAGGTAAGGTGGTCTGGTATTCCCATCTCTTGAAGGATTTCCCACAGTTTGTTGTGATCTACACAGTCAAAGGCTTTGGTGTAATCGATAAAGCAGAAATAAATGTTTTTTCTGGAATTCTCTCACTTTTTCTATGATCCAACAGATGTTGGCAATTTGATCTCTGGTTCCTCTGCCTTTTCTAAATCCAGTTTGAACATCTGGAAGTTCTTGGTTCATGTACTGTTGAAGCCTGGCTTGGAGAATTTTGAGCATTACTTTGCTAGCATGTGAGATGAGTGCAATTGTGTAGTAGTCTGAACATTCTTTGGCATTGGCTTTCTTTGGGATTGGAATGAAAACTGATTTTTTCCAGTGATTGACACGACTATGTGTAATTCCAGTTAACTATTTCTAAAATAGATGATATTAGTCTCTAAAGGGAAGACAGGATACAGACAGTTTAGCACCATCTGTTAAATTAAAACACTCTTGACAGGCTTCTCTGCCCATGGAATTCTCCAGGCAAGTATACTGTGGCAGTTAATCATTCTCTCCTCCAGGGGATCTCCCTGACTTAGGGATTGAACCCTGGTCTCCTGAATTACAGGCAGGTTCTTTACTGCCTGAGCCATCAGGAAAGCCTTGTTATAACAACAGCATCATGTACATGTGGATCATACATTCCAGTGCAAGTCTAATAAAAACATTAAAGATATTAAAATTAACTCAGCAAATACACACAGTGCTGTTCTAAGGTATGAATAAAGATTTCTTCTTCAGTGAATATACTCAAAGAAAATGATGGAGAATTTTCAGCAAGTTTTATTTAAGAATGTTCTCACACCCACAATATTACAGGTGAGTGGCTTCATGAATTGACCTGCTGGTTCAGTGTTTCACCGTGTGAATAAGAAAAATGAAGTCTTCCCAGGTAACTCTTTTAATACAGGTTAGCAGAGACAATACTTTAATGCATACTCTGACCTCATTAATCACATGCTATTTAGATATATTGCCTTTTAGAAGTTTACTCTTAGATGCTTCTACATAAATGAAATCAGTAGATGTTTTCTAAATCTTAATTAAATCTTTTGTACAATTTACATTGCCTTTTTGAAATACGGCTTGTAAAATTTGCATTTACCTTACGTGTATTAGTATATTGTAATTTTTTACTCATATGTGTGTGTGTGTGCTCAGGCATGCCTGACTCTGTGACCTCATGGACTGAAGCCTGCAAGGTGACTCCCTCCATGGGTTTTCCAGGCAAGAATACTGGAGTGTGTTGCTATTTCCTACGCCAGAGCATCTTTCCAACCCAGGGATCCAACTCACTTCTCTTATGTCTCCTGCATTGGCATGCAGATCCTTTACCACTCGCTCCACCTGGGCCTTTTTAATCATAGGAAAAGCAAAGGAATAACATTCTTTTACTTGAAGAAAAGTCCAGATAAGCTTGAAGACATCACACACCAAAAAAGCCAGCTAGTGTATATCATGAATCGTCTCATAGTATATAACAAAGAAAGGATAAGAGTATTGTGATTTGGAAGATAATATTTTGTTTTTCCAAAATGTGCCTCTATACAGGAAGCATGTCCTTTCCTGGCCGTAATTCAATCCAAAGTACTCTATTCTGCTGAAACATTAGGCTGTGTCAACAGTCAATTCACAAATCAATATGAATTCTCGGTCCTTTCTTACTTTGCTCTTGTTATTCCTTCCACCTGAAATATACTGCTACCTTATCCAAATAAACAATTCCTTATTATTCTTTTAAAGCCAATAAAATGTTACCTGTTCATAATTTTTCTAAAAAATTCTCCCCCTCAACATTAAATTAAAAGTGCTACCATCTATGTTTCCAGTCACTTTTTACCAAATTCTGTTATGAAATTTAGCACAGTGTGCTATTCCTTTAATTAGACACTGGTCCTTGGAAGGCAGAAACTGTCTTTGGGGTGATTATTGTCATTTTTAATCTTAGAACTTCTCCATGCACCGGTGAGGCATTTAGTAAGTTATGAAAACATGAAGTAAATAGTTGTTGAAATTTAAAATCTAAAATCAATTTGCAGGAATGTGTCCGTGTTTTTGACTGGATATAGACAGCATCAAAATAATTTAGTTCTAGTTAATTTACTGAAATTCTCAAGCTACATAAGTTGCTGAAGGGTGACAAACTGCATTTTTCACTTTCCAATAAGCTAACTTGATGGTATGAACAGTGCTTTCCAGGACCTTTTCTATAGGATTAGAGAAAAATGTCTTTAAAAATTGAATTAGATCTCTAGAAGAAATGTACTGTACTGCTATTATTTATACTGATAGCATGTAAAATCATATATTTGTAAAGCACTGACTGAAATATTAATAGATAAAAATAGAATACTATGGCATAATATGGTATATTAGTAAACTCCGGGAGTTGGTGATGGACAGGGAGGCCTGGCATGCTGCGATTCATGGGGGTCGCAAAGAGTCAGACACGACTGAGCTACTGAACTGAACTGAAGAATCAAGATCAAAGTAAATATTCAATGGAAAACAAAATGGTTTATTTCATAGTTAAAAGATAGAAGCAGACAAAATTGGGAATCCATTCTGGGTATACAATCATTT